TGTTTCAGTGTTGGCACCAAACGACAAATGACAGGAGGTGTCTGTGCTGTATAGTGGGGGTTCAGTCGACAATGAGGTGCATAATGGTGCTGGCCCCACATGGCAGGGTACAGATGAAGAATTCCCACTGCCCGGAGAGGGTGTAGGTGTTGTGAGGTTGTAGTGTGAGGCATTGCTAGTGTTTGTGGTGGTGGTGGTGTAAACAAACCTCCTGCACTGATAGTTGTAGGAAAGTACAGAATATAACACTTACTAATGCTGACAAGTGACCCTGGCTGGTTTATATATTCACCATGCTATACTCTTTATCTTATTTTAGAGTATTCTTTTCCTACTTCCTAAAATACTTAACGGTACACAGCACATGAGGCAGGGGATCAGGCCATGGAAAACTGGCTGGGCAAGTGGGCTTGGCCTGACATCACAGTTCCCGAAGCTCTGCGCTGGGACCAATCACGGAGCACTATCTTCAACTCTTCCTGCAGGAACTTGAGCAGTTTTTCCACAGGATGGTCTAGATCTGACCTAGCCTGAGGTGTAGGAGATACAGAGGTGACCACCAAGCTGGGAACTCTCTCAGTGGCCCACTCTGTGGCTGCAGGATGCATCTCTTTTGTTACCTTTCATTGGCCTGCAATGAAATTGCAGAGCAGCTCTTATATTTTTCTCCCTTTAATAAATGTAAAACCTTAGTACATTTTAGATGTACCTTGACCAGTTCTTTGTTTAGGAAAGGAAGAACCTAGAAACTACCTCTAGAAGGAGACCCCAGCACTCCAAAACCCAGTGAAAGGAGCCTCATTGGAGAGGCCATGTCAAGTGATTGGCCTATACATCTGGGTTTGTGTTCGTGTGCTCTGCAATGTTTATACAACTTGGAGATGCCCGTGGGTGTATTTCTTGCGACACATCCTGTTATATGCGTGACTATTCCGCTGCACTAGAATGGCTGAAATTAAGAGCCAGCTGAATACTGGTGGTGATGTGGAGGAGAAACAGGAGCTCCGGCTCTGCTGGTGGAGAGGTAAGGAGGTGCAGTCATTTAGGAAACCGGGTTAGCGTTATTAGCCAAAGTTGAAAGTATTTGATCCAATGACAGACACAGCAATTCCACTTCCGGAGCAACTCAGAGCGAATTGTAAAGGTTCCCCCTGAGCATGTACAAGGGCATTCATAACGGTATCGCAGGAACTCAGAAAATCTCAAATGGTGCGGACACTAAGACACATCGGCGACCATGGAACAATTGCGGGCCAGAGCACCGCGCATCAAAGAAGCTGGATGAAGCGCGTGCAGTTACAGGCAATTCCACAGATGACTCCTTGAAACAGAAAACTGAGCAGAGGGGCCAGATATTGAAAGAACTCATCCTACTTCCTTCCATGTGCATTTTAAAATAAGTGAAGAATATATTTTACATGTTTCTGGTTAGATAAAGTTCAAAATCAGCAAAAGTGCTGCCTGAGGAATACAGATAAGCCAGGAAGCATTTGCTCTGGATCTGGGAGAATGGCAGGCCCTGGGGTCCTCCTGGGGAGAAGGCCATCGTGGCGCCGTGCAGGTTTGGGGCTGCTGAGGGGTGGCGAGGCCCCATTTCCTGACCTGAGTGACCGTCAACTTCTTAGGGAGGAATGCACTTGGCTTCCTGTGTTTTCCTCGAAGCCTGTGCCACCCTTGCTCCTGAGAGCCTGGCCTTCCCTGGGCCTCCCTCTGAGGTGGTCTTCTTCCTCACACTTTTGCTTATCTCTATGGTCTCCTAGAGAAGCTCAGATGGATGTAGGATAAGGGTTTTTCCACTTTATCTAGACTCTGTGGTCATCCAAATTCCAAGGAACAGGCCTCAGACGGAATGTATTTTCTTCCTTGTTCTAACCTTATTCCTAGATTTCCAGTCCAAACAAAGGGAGTCCCTTCCATGCTGACCTCCCAAGCTGGAAACAGCGACTCCTCATTCCTTCAGCGGGCCCGGTAGCTGGGGCCTGGTTTTCAGAGTGCACACGTCCGTGTTACATCTACTTTTCTGTACGGTAGCTCGTCCCAGTCCCTCGGCGGTTCTGACACGGTCCCCATTGTCACCCTACCTTATGGAGGCGAATGAAGGGGCAGACCAGAGCGGCACCTGTGCCCGTCCTCTAGCACTTTGGACCAGCCCTGGGTCAGTGTTAGAACCTCCACCACAGCACCATGTCCCCACGTCTGGCCTCATGAGATGGTCCTAGTGCCCTCGTTGACCTGGTTCTGTTTCATCTCCTTTCACAGGACTACTCGGGACATCACAGAAATGGTAATTCGACCTCGTCAATTTCCAGCCATGTCCCTCAAAGGTGTTAGTGTGCCTGGAGGGACTGGCCTGCTCCATTTCCCCGGCTCCTGGTCCACATCCATCCTGGACACGTGCTTATCTTTTTGAGGTCCTGCACTGTGCACAGCTAGCCCTGTTTGTGTGTGAGGCTTAGCTCACCTCCTCTGTGATGCTCTGTCAGGCTCCTGCTGGCTCAGTTCCAATTATGTGTTTACTTACTATGTACTTGGTGCAGGCTTAATATTTTTTAAAAAAGTTTCATGATGTTGCAATTGCTCCCCCCCCACTATACTTCGTTTTGTTTTGTTTTGTTGAGACAAGGTCTTGCTATGTAGTTCAGTCTCATCTTCAACTCACTAGGTAGCTCAGCCTGGCCTCACACTCATGATCCTCCTGCCTCAGCCTTCTGAATGCTGGGATTGTAGGTGTGCACCATCACACCTAGCCTGCTATGCTTCTTGAGGACAAAAATAGTGTACCAGTCTCTCTTGGTGTGCCTCTTAATGGTGGCCGAGTTTAGGGGACAGGCAAAAACTCTTGCTACTTATGAAGGGGGCCTCAGGCCACACCACCTTCATAATACACTCCTCCTGTCAAAATGCAGCAAAACCTGGGTTTGTGAGCATAATTTGTTCAGGGGACATGCAGGTAATTCAAAATACTTGTACATCAAAGTAAATTTCCCTGTAAAAAATAATGCATACTCAGATGATTTGTTCCACTATCCAAAAATACTCATGAAAAGTGATTAAATACTGTAATCTAATACAAAATAATAAATAAAATGCAAAATATAAAGAAAAATAAACAAATTAACCTGCAGTTACCTTTGAAAACCTTCATGGCTGGTGTGAGGGAGACAAGAGAGAGAAGGGCTACTGTGTAGGACGACTTTCACTGTCACTAATGGGATCGCTGCTGTCTGTTGGCTCAGTGCAATGCTTTTCTTTATCTTTCTTTCTTCTTTTCTTTTTTCTTTTTTCTGGTACTGGGGATCAAACTCGGGACCTGGTGATTGCAAGGCAGGCAGCAGCACCACTGAGCTAAATCCCCTGCGCAATCCTTTTCTTTTTGTGCAACTTTAATAGGGGATCTATCCCACGACACTTGCTTTTGCCTCTTTTTGGGAATTTCCTGGAAATGCGACATTGCACTGTCATTAAACAGATTCACAGTTCACACCGTACAGCCTTGTTCAGGGGGTGCTTTTCTACAGAATTTTTCTCACGTTTTACACATCTCCCTAACTCACTTGAAAGTAGGGCTTCCTCTGGCTTTTTCTCCTGCTGCTCTGCAGATGAGATCTCCACCATAAACTTCTGCTGTTGGGAGATGATCACCCACAGTCCCAGAGAGAGAGAGAGAGAGAGAGAGAGACGGATGGGGAGAGGGAGGAGCCATTGGCTCATGTGACATTGGTGCCGTGTATTACTTATACTTCAAATATCGAGTTATATCTATGAGCAACTTTTGCTCATCTTGAGGAACACTCACAGGGCAAATTACTTGCGACCCAAGGTTTTTCTGTACTCAGGCCTAAAGGCAATTGAGCAAAAGCAGATACAGAGGGCACTCTGCCCTTCTCTGTCTTACTAAAAGCAGACCCAGATGTCCCTCCCATCATCGGCACACTCTGTCCCAAACAGGGAAGGACAGCCTCTACTCCAGTAAGCAGGAATACAGAGCAGAGTCTGCGTAACCACCGCTTCTTGTAAGTCACCTGTTCCTCCACAGGCTCCCTCCTCACACTTCCTGGTCACCATGTCACAATGCCATCAGCCCTAAAAATGTCCACACCTCTTTTCCTTCATCTGTCGATGTGTCCTTTATCACTGATTCACAAGTGTCAGGAACTGGAAGGGTGGAGGAAGGTTTCTCTCCCTCCTTCCAAGCTGTAAGAAGGGCATTGCGGTGACTGCTACTCCGGGGCTCAGGAAGGACACAGGGACTTGTGGTGGAAGAGCCGGGGCTCGTGTCAGACTTCTCTCACCTGCCCCTGTCCCTGTTAGTACCTGAAAGCTCTGATTTGCTTAGCTATGACCATGATGCCCGGGAGGTTGTGGACCCCACTCATGTGGACCTTATCTCTTTCCCAAAGTTCTCACGTTGAGAGTTGGGTCAGGGTGGGAAACACAACTGGAAAAGCTCTGAAAAGCTCCACTCGGCACCCAGTAAAAAACATTTGTTCCTCCTGAGACTGTGCACCCAGCCCTGGCCAGAGCAACATTAATCCCGCAGTGAGTGTTGGCTGATGACTGGCTTGTGAAACCCAGCCACTCGGGGGCAGACACAGGGGCCACCAGCAGATGGAAGCCGCGGGACCCGGTTTAAAGAAGGGAATCCAGAGCTATAAGTCCATGCAGGACCTGATCTCCCCCTCCTTCCCTCTTCCCCTTTCACCAGTCCTTTGGGAAGGTGCCTGCAGGTAAACACTGAAACTGTGCAGTGAAGTGAGCCCCAGGGAAGGCAAGGGAGGAGAAGGCAGTTTTGTTTCTGAGTGACAGAGCAAATTCTGATCAAAAGAGACTTTTCAGGTTTGTCAACCCAGAAGAGCCCAAGGAGAAAAAAATAATGGGCTCAAAGTACGCTGTTAAAAATCTTGATAATCCCACTGCTTCAGCTAAGAAAGTCGCCAAGCGGCAGAGAAAGACCACTGTTTCCATGTACGTGTTCTCAGACCGAGAAGAGAGCTGCTCACCTGGAAGCTAGCGTTGCTGTAGCCCTCACTTCTGACGGCTGCCGTGCGTGTCAGCTCCATGTTGAGCTCTGCCATCTGGGCTCCGAATGCCTTTCCAATGGCTGAGCAGATGTCCTCCTGAGCTGGGCAAGAGCAAAACAAAAACCTCAGCCTCTGCTGATGTCACAAGGCCACCTGCTGCCGGGGAGACTTGGGCATTGCTTCACTTTGGAGACTTCTCAATGACTGGGACTGGACCGGGCCGGGGTGGGGCTGCAGGGGCAGAGGGGCGGGACAGAGGCCTCCAGGCAGGCCCGCCCTCCTCACTCACCTTTCCAGTCACTCCTGAAGTTGGCTTCCCCTTTTCTTCCGGAGAGAAAACTTCGGGAGTGCACAGCAGAAAATGACACTTTCTCTACAGCCCTCAGTGAAACAGTCTGTGTCCGTACGGGGTGCTGGGGACCAGGATGGTGGAGGAGGCAGGGACTGCAAGGGTTGGTTCCCATCGCGTTTCTTCTCTAGTGCGTGTTATATACACAGATATACAACTCTGCTTGCCATGGGGAGAAACTGAGGCTTAGGCAAGTTTACAAATTGTCCAGGGTCATGTAGGTAATAAACGGACAATGAGAAGTCAGGTTCAGGTCTGCTCATTGGAAAGCCTTTCATTGTATCCCTACTTCAGACTGAGCAGCTTTCAAAAGTCCAACTTAGGAAAAGTACACCGAAGTGGAGGATAAATGAAGGATGACTCTGCTCACCTAATAAAAGGATGCTTTGTTTTGAATTAGCTTTAGAATTCTTTCAAAATAGGGATTCATCCCTCTGATGTTTAATCATTATTATTAATTAATTAATTAATTTATTTTTGGTTTTTTCGAGACAGGGTCTCCCTAGGTGGTTGAGACTGACCTAGAACTCACTATGTAGCCCAGGCTGGTCTCAAACTCATAGTGATCCTCCTGCCTCAGCCTCCCAAGTGCTGGGTTGCAGGTGTGCGGCACCATGCCCAGCCCCTACGATGTTTAAAATGATCTACTACTATCTAGTAATTGTTCTAATTGTGTGGCTTCTGTGAAAACAAGGAAAATGCTCACGATAAGTAAAAAACTAGAGATAAAATTTACTAGTGCAAAACACTGGACAAAATAATGGAAGAAAATAGCTCCTACCAGTGTTATTTTTGGGCTGTGGCTTTGTGGGTGGTGGTTATTTTCTCCTTAGTATAGTATGGAATTTTATATAAAGTGTTTGTCTCCTACTACTACAACACAGACTGTATATCAAGGGCACATAGGAGCCTAGTCTGGGTTCAAAGCCTGGCTCTCTCTTAATTATAGGAAATGCCAACTTTGAGGCCAAATGTACCCACTGCCTCATTTTAACATGACCCAAGAGCTAAGAAAATAATGGGTTTGAAATTTCTAGATAGCTGAAAAGTAATCAAAAGATAAAATATCATGTGTCAAGTGAAAATTCTAGGCGATTCAAATTTGAGCAAAAGGACAGAGCGGTAGACTGTAGAGCTCGTGACAAAAACCTCGTACCTGGCCCTTTCCAGCCACCCCAGTCACTGCACGTTGAACCTGGCAGGTCACTGCCTTCCCTGCTGCTGGTCTGCCTTACAGGGAGCCCTCTCTGAAGGATTCCTGGGACAGTGCCCGACACAGTCCAACAGTGCCCAGACTTTCCCTGTGCCTCCACACATCAGGGTTTCTTGTTGGTGAATAAGACTTGGGGAATTTGTTTTAGTTCCTCCTTAAGACTGCAGTGTGACGCGACAAGTAGTCACTGTGCTCTCAAAGGCAAAAAGTCTAACTAGAAGTGGTCAGGACAGGTACAGATAAGCAGGAAGCAGACATGTGCCAAACTGACCCTGAAACTGGTGAAAGAAATCAATTGCTGCCACCTATTATAACCTCTGTGATCTCAAGACTCAATCTAGGGTAAGGGCGTAGATGATGGGTACTTTTTTGGGGAAAAGAACAGTCTTCATTCTGCCATTTGTGGTTATAATCACAGGTACTTGATTCATGTTCTTGACAACTCTGCAGATACCTCTAAGTACGCCACTCCACATGCTTTCTGCCCATTGGTGATAGAGTAAAGGTTGTGCCCGGGTGGTGGAATGTGTCTGTAGCCCTAGCACTCAGGAGGATTGCTGTGAGTTTGACGCCAACCTGGGCTACACAGTGAATTTCAAACTGGGCTGAACTACATAGGGAGATCCTGTCTCAAAAAGGAAAAAAATTCAAAATTTTGAAAAGAATGCAGGGATCCTTGTGAGCACCTTGTAGTACTGAGAAAAAGCTAGAGTGACTCCCCTGCCTTTCTCTGACTACTGCAGCCGTAAGCAAATGGAAACCCAAGGAGGGTAAACTTTACACACAACCACGACCCTACAATGCCAAGACGATCATCATAGCAAGAAAGAGCCCAAGTTCAAACTCTGTGTATCTGAAGCCTGCACTGAAAACTCTGACTTTCTTGCAGCACCAACATTAATTTGATTTATGGGGCTATCATATAAAAGGGTAGAACCAGGTGGCAAGCTGTGGCTCATTTCCTAATTTGGAAATAGACAATGCCATTGGAAAATGAAGTAGAATGCCTTTCCACTTCACGTGTCTGCATTTAAAATCATTCTCCCATTGTGCGGGCATTACTCAGAAGGACTAGCTTGTGCCAAAATCTACACAGGTGTCTTCACACCTCTGAGCCAGTTTCTTTGTGTGGCCCTCAAACTCAGCTTTAAGCTTGGAAACCATGTGCAGCAACCAAGTAACTGGGTTTTTTGTCAGATAATTCCTGTACACTCTTCCATTCCCTAAGAGTTGAATTATAAGGGCTAAGATAGAACCCATGAATCCTGTGTGCACAGCTTGTTGTTTATGTTCTGTTCTTTTTTTCTTTTTATTGAGTTTATTGGTACAATCTAGGTATACAATACAATTACATTCATCTTTGGGATTCTGTACCTTTACATAATAGGTCTTGATTCTCATTTTGCCCCTTGTCCGTGCCCTCCCTTCACCCCCTCCTCCCCTCCCCATTTATAAACACTTTATTTCCATTTTTTCAGTTTATCATATTTTTTTCCTCTCCCTTATTACCTTTCCTCCACCCTTCCCACTTTCCCTACACCTTTAGCCCTTTACTTCCTATTTCACATTATTAATTATCTCATTAGGATCTTGTGTACTATTATAGTTTTTCACACCAAAGAAACTATTCGGTATTTCAGTTAAAGAAATCTCTGTATGAACATTAAAAATAGGGAATCCTAAAATAAAACTAAAAAGGAAAGTA